AACTATACATCTCCATTTACTTTAGGATATTTTATAACTTTAAATAGAGCCTTTTTATTCTTAAATCTCACGAAGCATTTACTTCTTCTTTAAAAAATGCAAGAAGTGGGTTCCATCGGATCGAGGATTCTAAGATAAGCATTTCTTTAAAGACAGCCAGCAGTGTACACACGTTTCAAAATTTTTCTCATTTCAGTATTATGCAGCTGTTGGAACTGTTTCAATTTTTCCTTCCTTTTAGAAATCCTTTCAAGATAATAATAAATATCAACAATGTGTTTATAAACATTTATTGGTAAAGAAGCTACTCCTTTTTCAGCAGCTAAATTTAAGAGGTGACAGGTACACATCATAATCTGCAAATCTGAATTTTCCTTTCTGAAGATGCCTGCAACACCAGTCTTCAAGCCTACCAATACTGGTGCATTATCGGCACCAAGACTGCACTCAATTTCTGAAGACTCTGGATTAAAAAAAGAAACAACAATTGGATACAGTTTTGAATCGGTATTATTGCTTCCATCCGTAGAGAGGCAGAACGGAGCTGTTTTAATGCAATCAATAACTGAAGATTTATTTTTCAAATCCATTTCTTTAACAATTGCACCTGTTTTGGTCCTTGCACTTGAGTATTTCTTAGCGATTTCACCATCGGGAAACATTTTTCTAAATAAAGCTGCAGCATGATCCAATGCATTCAGTGGCAGGTTGTGCTCCAGTAAAAAAGCAGAGAACAGACATTGTACATTAATAACTTTTTAGTCCTTTGTTTCCGAAGAAAAATTTAATTTTTCGTTTTTTTCAAAACAATTTATGTTGTCCTTGTGTTTTTGTGTACGCACATGTTTGAGAACACCTGCTCTTCCCCCATACGAAATCGAAAAATCGCAATGACAGACAGTACACACCGCAAATTTATTACACTTCCTTGAGGAAGTAATGGAAGGAAAGTCAAATGTGTACGATTTTTGAAACGTACATGAGTATTTTACCTTTCCGCCTTTTCACCTTTCTCGCAAACATAACAAAAGATGATAATTTCTAAAACTATTTCCCGAAGGCACGTGTACTCACACAACTCAGGACAAGATGAATGAAATAACTAAAGAACATCTAAATAACAGCCTTAAGCTTGCTTTGTGCTCATTGGCTAATATATACCAGATGACATGCAGTGGAGCTCGATGCCCATTGGAGAACGACGTTTCTTGATGCTTTCACTCACAAAACAGAAGTTCTCATCTGATTCACAAGGTTTTGTTTTAGATATAATCTAGAGAAAATTCAATTGCTTTCAGACGTCCAAAATCACTTTATTTATTTATTTTTTTTTATAACGAAGCCAAGTTCCATAAAAATCGTGAGAAATTTTAAGAATAAGAAAAAGTCGGGAGAAATATATTGTAAATCGGGTTGGCGGGAGAGCTGTTGAAAATCGGGAGTCTCCCGCCTAAATCGGGAGAGTTGGCAACTCTGTACAGGTGACATGGAATTGCATGCAATTGCACCCTAAACCATGATGCCGATTTGCCCCCCCCCCAGTGGGGCATTCCACAATTGCTGTCAGATTGAACCTGTCTCCTCATTGATGTCACACTTGTACACAGGAACTGTCATTGGAGAAACAGAAATGTGACTCATCTGCCATTCTGTCATCCATGTCACTCGAGCTCGGCATCATTGCAGATATTGGCAACTATGATGTAGGATCAATAGCAGTCTTCTTAATGGACGCTATGAGTGCAGGCCACTAGCCACTAATCGGCGGCAAATGGTTCTGGTTGATATGGGAACATCCATGGTGTCTTGAACTTACTGTAGAATGGATGTAGAAGTGGCTTGCAGATGTGCCACCGCTCGTCGGTGGAAGCGGTGAACCATGCATGCTGACGTCACTCTGGTTGTACTGGCACCCTTCAAACTTGCTATATTTCCTTGTTCCAACCATCGTCACCACCACCAGCACACTATGGACAGGCCCAGGTGTGCATCAACTGAGATTTGCCATATGGACCAACTTGCCCTTCTCAGTCCGATCACCAGGCCCCTAGTAAAATTGTCTGCCTGCTGGAACTTCCTCTGTTAACGACAGCCTGGTATTCTCTGCTATTACACGCATCCTCTGAGACAAGAAAAAATTATCTACAATGATTTCCCTAGCAGAAATAATGGCACAAAAACTGAACATTCTACAGGTTCCTTTCCTCATACCTTCTTCAATGTGCGCTGGAGAGCTGTGCATTTCATATCGTTCGCATAACTCGGTGACGTGCATCTACCATGAAATTTGCGTAATTTTTGGGCCACTCCTTCTTCCATTTTTCAATGCAGGGTAGTGTATAAATGTGCTTGAAAAATGAAAAAGATCCACTATGCTAAAAAAGATGGACTTTCATCAAAATCTTCTAACTAATGTTGAACAATTTAGAGAAGTGTGAGAAAGTAGAGCTTTCTTTCATGAAATTAGTTGTAGATGCAGAAGTTTTAACCCATTAGCCGCTGGTGTTGCGTTGACACAACGGTCAAAATAAATGCATATATAAATATAACTACCTAAGATATTTTATACCAGCAGATGATTTTGTGTAGGGAATATTACGAAGATTATTTCTGTAAAAAAATATTTGCCTTCAACAATCATTTTGTTTATAATAATTAATCTCATACTTTAGGCAAAATTTTCAACCGGATATTTTTGCTGAAAATATTTAATGAAAGAATTGATATTTTTCGATTAAAGATTGGTTCACTCCATCCAATTGTTCACAATAAAGGTCTGCATTAACAGTTTGTCCAGGTTTCAGCAATTCAAAATGAACAATTCCGCGAATACTCCATCAAACATCCAGAAGCGCCTTTTTGGGATGTAAACCCTATTAAAACTGCCTTCTGAGTTTTGGATTATCATATACGACTATTTTTTGTATTGCCATTGAAGCAATATGTTGCATGTGATGGATAGGTTGGCTTTGTTCTTTTCAGACAGATTATGGGAGACTTAAACACCTACTTTGCTTATTTTTCCATTCTGCTTTAAAAGTTCTTGGATGGTCGACCAAGGTTGGTTAAGAGTGTTTGACATGGATTTGCTTCCACTTCTGCCCTTAGCATGTTGTTGTTGACATGCGCAGAAATGACATTGCTTTCCGGCCCCCCTATTATAATTTCTACATTATTTTACTAGATTTAAACTGATCCGGAAAATTCCGAAATCCGGAATCACCAAAGTCCCAAGAAGTCTGGATCTCAGACTTTGCACTATATTCCAAAGTATACCCAATTACTTAATTTTCATTGTGATACATGTAATGCAGTTGGCTATCATTCAGTTGAATAATTTTTTTAAGCATCATGTATTATTTTTTGTAAATATCCATGATTAAAATGACCTTTTTTTAAAATTTTATTCGTAATTACTGAATTTCCATGTTCATATTTCATATTACACCACACTCTGTGCTACAAATATCATTATTTTTGTTATTTTGTCACCCTTAAAAGTTGTGACCATCTTTTGTGTTGTAACCTATATGATGTTAGTACAAAATAATGCTGCTTTGGAACAGGCCTATACTTAAAAGAGGGCCCATTTTTATATTATGGCACAAGCTACTCAAACATAGCATATAACAAATTTAAATTTTACAACAACTTGAATTATACACTATGTGACAAAGATGCTTCTGTTCCCAGCAGTAATTACAGATGTAGGTATGACTGATTTTAAATTGAATATTAGGAACATTTCATGTTTATAAAAACTTGCATTTGAAGAAGAGAATAATTTGCCAATTTTATTAATTATTCATTTTAATGACTGGAATCTCTAGTGTCAATATGAAAATTTTATAAATGAATAAAATCAGATCAGATATGTCACATGCAATATAGGAAATATATTTCCATGTACAAGCTGAGAATTTTGAACAAATTGTTTGCTCCTTAAGTTTGGCTTATATACGAGTTCAATATGACTTCCAAATAATTCAACTGCAAAAAATTATTAGTTTTATTTTATTTAATCCTAATCTTCATTAACTAAACTTCTCAATACCCAAATGCAGACTCTGAATTTTTGTAGCAATCTCTACTCTGTGAGAATGGCACTAACCTTCATTTAACCATTAATATCACTAACATTTCTCTCATGGATAATATGATCTTGAGTTTTAGTCACAGCACTGCTGGTGCAACATATTTTGAATGATCATGTCTAGTCTATTTTTCGTATGCACTCACTATCATTTAATTAATCTGATAGATGCAAGTTAGATGACTTTTTATTCAAATTTTTGTCAACATACAGCTGGGTTTAGAGCACAATTTTAAAATCTTATGCACAAGTTTTTATTTTTGACTGAATTTTGCAATAAAATGCTACACTTTGGCTTATACATGGGTCAACTAATACTCAGAAATATATAAGTACAATTCCACATTTTCAGGAAACACATTATCAGTTTTAATTGAGGTAAGGGCCATTTTCAATAAAGCATTCTGAACATACATTTTGGAAAATAGAACGGGGGGAAAAATTTGAAATTTGAAATCTCTACCCATACTAGACCAGTTTTAAAATTAAAACATGGTGAGTAACATATTGCTTGCCTTTCGTTTTAATTAAATATTATTTGCATGAGTCGTGTGTGAATGATTGATTCAAGCCGTGTAAAATGTACAAAATCAAATTAGATTTCAGACCGATTTCCGTGACTGTTAAGGATTTGCAATGATCTTTAACTCCAGCTCACTTTTAAAAATACATAACTCCTACATATTCTCCTTGCTAAAGTATTTCAATGACATACAGTGAGGAATGAAATTAAAAGTATTACATCTTACCTAAAAGATACATTTCTACAAAAAATGTACTAAAGGTATAGAATCCTTTTTTTTTATTAGTAGTATTACACCTAACACAATTTTTTTAAATAAGATATTATGATACATGTAATACATTTTTAAAATTTATAATATATATATAAATATGAAATACATACCAATGTATGGTTCTCCAGACGAAACATATAAAACATCATCATCCCTATACAAATAAGGCAGCTTTAATGAATATCATAAAATAATAAATATAAATGCTGTAATTAATAACTTAACTGGTGTTTAAGATTTTGATCATTATATTAAATTACATAACACTGAACACAAATGAAAAATAAAACTAACTTCTGTGCTAGCATTAAATCAAGAAGACCACTAAGAGCTTCAAACGCATATGCAAAAATTTACAATATAATAATTTTTTTGAAATTTTTTATTTAGCTACTACTGGCCATATAAAATGCAATTCCATAAAAAAAGTGATATTAAAACTGTACAAGATGAACAAATAATACAGGGCACAAGGGAGAAGTGATTAAAATCACAGCTCTGTTCGATTTGCAGAACAGGAAAAACATCAGTATTTTAAGTAGCTGCTATGACTGGCAGTAACTCCTGTAACATGGTTTGGCACTGAAAGAGGCTTTAATATGTGCTTGGGGTATGAGAGTCACTCCTGTTTGCACACACTGCCTAAATGCATCTGGCATAGCTGGGTGTGGTACTACATTGTTGGCATAGTGCTAGAGAAGAAGGCTGCCATAGTCTTGGGCCAAGTTTCAAATCTCAGATCAAGGCACGGATGTTTGTCAGTGCATGGGGTCTCTGCAGCATGGAGTACTTGTTGCATGGGTACTAAGCATGGGTACTATGCACAGCATGAGGTACTAATACTTTTGAGCTGAGTTTCATCTCCAGAGGTTGATGGCAGAGGAAGAAGAATGGGAGACCCTTGGGGTGTTCTTCCTCAAAAATGGGACAAAGCTTTCCTTTTTCTTGTAGGTGTACTTCAATTAGCCTCTGTAATATACCCTGGACAGGGTTTTTGATGATGAAATGGCTAGATAACCAACTTGTTTTGATCATTAAAATATATATATGCATTAATCTGTGTCCAGTCACTTTTTGCACATTGTTCTCAGCATTAAAAATAAAATCTAATACCACTGACTGTAACAGACTGAAAACTTCCGTTTCATTTATTTGATACAAACAATATATACTTTTTTAATACTTTGATATTTCCCTTTAGTCTATCAGAAAGAAGCCAAATGAACAAGCATCTGGCAGACTAAAGGGCTGAAAGTTGAATACTTATAGTTTGAACTGAGTTCAAATGCCAGTGAATGGGCTGGCTGTATGGGTTTTTCATGGTTTTCCTCATGTGTAATGTGATAAAATGGTAATTTCCCTTAAAAGTTCACCACAAAAGCATCTTCCCAATTACGTAAATAATCCTTGTGTACTTTATCATTCATACTCAACAAATTTTCTTTTTATACATTATTGAATGAAACAAGCAGATTTTCTCTGTTATAAATAATGAAGCTCTTAAAATCGAAAATGCTAGCAAGCTGATTTTAATGTTAATCAACATTAAAGATTTAATTTGAGTTGCCAACAGCAGATATTTTTATTGAAGATGAGAAACAAAATACTTTCATTTCTTGTTTATTATATATCATAACTTTTTTTTAAAATGTTGGTACTTTGTTATGGCAGCCCCCAAGATTGAATCTCCAATAAACTGAGATATCTCAACAAAATCTGGCCACGTGCTCTTATATCTCACCACATGATCATTTATTAGCACCGGCTGCATGTGCTTATACTTTACCATGTAATCGCATATTAGCACCTTTTTGCATTTTTGCTTTTGCCATGTTCTTATATTATTAATTTTTTATGAGGTTTACAAATTTGCATTATTTATTTCAAAATATATTCATTGCTTTTTTGTGAATATAATGTTAACAATCTTTAATGTACCAAGTAATGAGGTGGATGCCATACCATTTTTTCAAGAAAGGAGTTTTACCTGACAAACAAGTACACAAAAATGGCCACAATATCAAACTTTAATGATGAAACCATTTAAAGGTTCAATGTTAAAAAGTGAAAAAAGATGAAGAGCCTTTGTGTTGGAAATTGGTTCAGCAGTTTCATAATATCGTTCATCACTGCTACTAGATTTATGTATTCTTGGGCAGAGGAGTTAATGTCCATGAAATGGTGTAACAAACAGTTTAATATGTGTGAAAGTGCTGCAGTTGACTCGAACAACTGCATGAGATAAAACAATAATAATGATAAGGATTCTTAAAATTTTATTAGAAAACGACATGTCAGCATAATTGTTATATATTGTGTTTTTATTTTTACATTTGCGCCTCACGAACTTGGTGAAATTATAGTTCAAATCTTGGCACAAGTCTAAAATCGCCAAATATGGTTGGGGGCTGTTATAACAGAGAAGTACCAAATTTTTTTTACGGTAAACCCTTTTTCTAACTGTTGTACTCCAATTTTAAGTTTGCAGACTGCAAAATCTTTAATAAATTATCTCCAAAGGAACAAATAACATGAATCTATGCTTTGCAAACATTCTTTTTAAACAGTCTTTTTGAATGACCATTATATAAAAGCTCAATAATGTTAATAATTTCTTTTAAATATTTAAGCCATTCCAGTTGCAATAATTTGGCACACTAAACTGTGTTAGGTGGCTCAGCAAAAACACTCTCTTGAAATAATGACATCCTAACATTTCAAATAAAAGTTTATAAATTAATAAAAAAATTCATAGACACATCTCTAGAAATTTAAGAATGATCTTTTTCTAGTCAAGTAATGTATGAACAAGCAATACATGAAAAATTCATTTCTTTATAGAATGTTGACAGGGGATGTGAGATAATACTTTTTCAATATAAAATTAATTAGGTGTTAATGCAATAAAATTTGATTAGAGCATTCATAAACTAGCAATGTTTATGCAGAATTTTATCAAAACTGAAAAAAAATTTCATCTTAAATGACTTGAAGTAATTCAGTATGCTAAGTTGTTTACAACACTACTAAAAATTAAAAATGGAATTTGAAATAAAGTAGTACCAGACACACTTTTTGGAAAATTTACTTTTATTTTTTTATTATTTATATGAACTAACACATTTCTGAATATTTTGGATATTATTACATAATATTAATATATATAATTATTAGTCTCCTACACAGGAAAATGAAGTTACATTATTTTAATATAAATAATAGGAAGAAATATTGTAGCGAGCTTGCTAAAAAGTTACCGGGAGCTATAGCTCCTTGAAATAGTTCAACGCAGTATTACTAAAATATTGACATAGAAGAAATTTTTTTAAAAAATTATAAACATGTAAAAAAGAAAAAACTGCTTACATGTGAAATAAAACTGTTTAAAATCAATGTTGGAAAACATGTGAATGCACGAAAAAACTAATCTGATCGTTGTGACATGTGAAAAGCTATTTCTTCCTATTATTTCATATTTTTGCAGCATTTTGCGCAAAAAAATTTTTAAGACCAAATAGGTCTTGCGTCTCATTACTTGTTAGCTTTTCAATTTCTATTTCGATTATATTTTAATATAAATAGTTAGAAATAAACAAAAGACAAATTAATTATTAACAATATGCATTTAACTAAACGAAAATATAGGATCATGAGTTGAAATTAAAGGTTAAGGCATATTTTACATTACGAACGAAACCCAACTCTTCAACAGGAATTATCTACTTTTAGCCACCACTATGAATCTTTTCAGGCACATATTTGCAAAACCACATCATTTGCAGTACTTCTGCTGCAGAAACTGCTTAAATTATTTATTAAAGTATCACAAAAAAGAGGTAAAAAAACTAAACTGGCTTATTAAAACTATCTCTTGAAGTACAATTACAAATTAACAAATACTAGCTAGTGCTACATGCAGGATTTCAGGAAACCAAGTAGTTAAATCAATGAAAGAAAATCTTTTTCCTATCATCAGCTCCATTATTGGAGATTCTATTCTGTGCTCTAACAGATTCATTCACCAGTTTACCAGATTCATTCAACAAAATTCATTCACCAATCAATAGGTTTGAGAAATGGATGGCTCTTAGTTTCAGGCTAAACAGCTATACTAGGTATTTATCACAATACTCTCTCTGAATTGCAGATTCACTCACTATTTAAATTCAAACTAATTTTCATTCTGGTGAATACCAACAAAAGAAGCAGGAGGCATAGGAAAGAAATGATATAAAATAAGAAGTTAGTAGCAAAAACACACCTTCAAATGGAAATACACTTTTTCCTTGAAGTTTTTGAGAAAAAATGTTAAATTTTTTTTTAAATCATGATCAACTAGCATTTATTCAATATAGCAAATGTCAATACCTTTTATTTTTGAAAAATATAGAAAAACAAAGTAAATAAAAAACTGATTTTAGTACAAAATTTTTACAGTGTTCTATTTTATGCATCATTCCTTTAGAAATATTTTAATGAATTATGTTTCTTTGAAAATAAAATAACGTAAAAAGAATCAATAATATCAACAAAAAAATGTAGTTGACAGTGAGATTTGATTTGACAACTTAGTTAGTAGCTTTGCTTCATATCACATATTATTAATTTTAGTAATATCCTCTTAATATTCCACTACATGAGGGAAAGTCAAAAATTATCCAAACTTTAGGCACAGAGCATCTACATGATAGTCACACTGCCTTCTGTACATACATGCTTAGAGCTGGTGTTACTGTGGCTATGTAAGCTCAGTTTCACATTGATTGCATCATTTTACTTGCTGCTGTGGCAGTAGAAACAAGGCTGCTGCACTACTAGAGTGCATCAGGGAGGAACAAAGAGTAGTGATCCGGTTTCTCTGGTCAGATGTGTGTTAGGATGAAATTGATTGGATATTTTCAACAAAATACAGAGGCAGTGCTTTACCACCTATGAGTGGATTGAAAACTTAAAATAGAGAAATGTGTGTAGAAAGAGCAAGTTGCCTTTCAACTTCTGCCACAGATGAAATGATTCAGCAAGTTTGAGAAGTAGTAATAGCTAAGAGAAGCGTTAACATGGATGAGATAGCATATTTTCTGCAGATTACACATAGTTCTATCATACCATGCATCTTAACTTCCATAACATCTCTGTAAGATGGGTGCCAAGATATCTTACTACAAAGTACAAGTGAATGTACACTAAGGTTGGCCAATGTTTACTTGACAGCTACAACAACAAAGGCAAATAATTTTTAGCATGGGAACAAAAGATAATACATGCATTCATCCAAAAGAGAGTATGGAGTGGAAATATCCAGGATCACCATCAATGAAGAGATTCAAGCATCTGGGTTTTGACATGCTAGATTATGCTGCCTACAGCTCAAGTGTTGCCTCTTCTGACTACTGAAAGATGCTTTAGGAGGTCACTGATTATTTGTGCATAAATGGCTGCATGAAAACCAAAAACCTTCTATTTGAAGGGGATATTCAGGCTTATTGGACTGCTGTACCAAATTCACCGAAAAAGAATGGGACTACATAGAAAAATAATATACTTATTTAGTCTCTACTTTTGTGTTAATAAATTCTCAGAACAAGAGTGCAGACAATTTTTTACCCTTGTACAGTCTTCTTTGTATAATATATTATGACGGCCATACAAGACTAAGGATTTTTGCTTTTAGAACATCACTTGCTATAGAACTTATATAAAGTAATGTGACAATAACACAAGTAATTATTACCTCATATGTATATTCCCTACTTCTTAAAATAAAGAATTTAATAATATTAACCCTATCTAAGACACTTCAGAATTACAAAAAGACTTTAAATAGGCATGAATTTGACTTTATGTTAAACAAGATTATCCATTAAAAAGGCAGTTAAGTGCATTTCAGGTACTTAAAATTGTTTCACCTCTTATGTAGAATAAAATTTAAGAATTATCATTATTTTTCTTCACTTGAAAATAAAACTGCACAGCATTAAAGTAAAAATTTTTTCTGAATAAAACTTTTTATGAGGCTCAGATTTTTAAAGATTAGGAATATCATTTCTTACCAGTACAATTTATAATATACTGAACTGCCAAAATGTTATGACCACACCTAAACCATAAGAACACACTTATCATAATGATGCAGGTAGTGTGTGAGAAGGACAGAATGTTATTTAACCCTTTGCACTCGGGGCCTTTTTCATGTGGCACACCAGCAACTCGAGATGTTCCGCAGCCTTTTTAATGCATTTCTTACCAGTAACTTAAAACCATTACTCCCACAAATTAATGTATAAAATTTTTATAGTTTAACATTTATCTTTACAACTTTATAAACATTATTTCTTAAATATTAGTCTCTGTTATTATTCTGTGTATGATATTTCATGCAATAATTCCCAAGATGCATGCCTGGCTTGTTGGGGCAAGTATTACAATAATATGCCATTTGATGCCTTTTTCCGGGTTCATTTCTCTGATAGATATGAAAAGATAAGATTTCAGATAAGAAAATCTTATTTCCATTTAAAGGGGTATCATTTTACACTTCATAAGATTATACAGAAAGAGTATAGGAATCTGCTTTGAAGAAAATAAACATACACAGTTATTGCCATGCATTGAGTTTTCGCATCAAACCAAGTGGTGAGTGAGAGTCACCTCCCACATTTGCGGCATCAAATCACATGGTGCACAGCGAGAGTCACCTCTTGAGTGCGAAGGGTTAATAGCTGCAACAGGTACTAAGAAGTAATTTTGCTGAGTAGGTAAGTAGGAAGGCTGCTGATTTAAGCCACTTAAGACCAGATTTTGATGGCTTGAAGGCTTGGAACAAGTATCTCAGATATGGCATTGCTCAGAAGGTGCTCATGAGCTACCATTGTTAGTAGCTATGAAAAATAGAAAACAGATTTGAAACATGTGCAGATTGTGATGGTTCAAAAGCTAGGAACAAGTATCTCAGAAATGGCACTGCTCAGAAGGTGCTTATGAGCTACCATTGTTAGTACCTATGAAAAGTGGAAGACAGACTTCAAACACGTAGCAGATGCCAAAGCATTGGAAATCCATGCATGACACTGAAGAATATACCACTTGGTGAAGGCAAATAGGTGGCTGCTAATGGCTGATCTGAGAGTCGCATACACTGGAGATCCAAGTATGAGGGTATTTAAGCCCACAGTTTATTGAATTTTAAGTCTGTTAGACATCGGACTTTGCAGCCGATACTCCTTTTATATGCCTCTGTTATCCTAGCATCACTGATATTTGATTCTGAAGTATGCCTATGAACACTGTGCTTTGTCTATGCAGCAATCAAAGAGAGTTGTAAAAAAATTATGATTATTCATCACATCGATGGACATATCACGGTATGCAATCTTCAAGATAAAAAAACAGTTGCAGACTGCAAGACATAAACATGCCAATGATGAATGTACTAAGCTTTGGGAGATTTTCTCATGGGCATTCACAAAGCTAACAGTTTTTGCTTCCATGACAGCTTCAGACTACAAGAACATCACTGATCCTGTCATGGCTCCTGCTCTCCCCATACGTAACTGGCTCTTCCAACAAATCAACACTTCTTGTCATATGACTGCAAATATGCTACAGTGATTTGAAGAACATGCATAAATTCCAGTTGATGTTATGGCCTCCAAACTTGCCAGATAATCTTAGTGAGCACATCTGGGACATAGTGAAACATAAGCTAAGAACTCATCACTTACCTCATCTAAAGCTACAGGAGCTATATGGCTTCTATTTGCATATCTGGTACAATCTCCCTCCTGATGCTTCAAGGACATGTAAAATCCATGCAGTGATACTTTCTACAGCTAACTTGCATACTAAAGATATGATACTAGAAGACATGATACTAGACGGGTGGTCATTATGTTTTGGCTGATCAGTAAAAGTGAAGAATTAAGACATTAGGAATTAACCTAGAGATCTTTGAAATGTATGCATTAAAAAGCATTAGTATCATAATATTTGATAAGGAAGCAGCAATAAATCTTCTATTAGTAATCTACTAATTACACTTATGACAAATTTTTCATTTTACTTCTGTTAAAATCTCCAAACAATTTTTAAGCACTCATATAGTTTTCTTTGTAATACAGTCCAAAGTCTTTAATCCGGACTCGTCGGGACTTCGGCAATTCCGGATTAGTGGTTTTTCCAGATTACAGATCATCAATTTAAATCTGGTACGATGGCATGCAGAAATTATACAATTAAAAATATGAAACCGTAATTTATGAAATAAAGAGCAATTATACAAAAAAAAAAAAAAAAAAAAAACGAACTTAATATTTATTTGTTTACTTTATTAAACATTTCTTTCAATGCAAGTTGTTTAAGTTGCTTCGTTTTATGTGCTAATACTTTCTCTTTAATTCTATAAACAGACATAATTTCTTGTTCAATTACAAAATTCCACTGTTCAAGTCCTGTAATTGCTGTGCCGAGAATACCGACTAACTTGTCAATTTTTTTTTCATTTTCACTAACCTCTCTGTCACTTTCTTCATGACTTTATCCATTTTTTGCAGCAATTCCACTTTTTGTTTGATGATCATCAAAACATGCTTTCGCTTTGTAGATCCTTTGGCAGCTCCAGAATCGGAAACTCTTTTTGACATAATCGAAAGTTCAAGCCTACTTTTTATAAAATTGCTCTAACAGTCTGCAAAAAATCATAAGCCAGATCCAATTAGAAGATTAAGGAACAGCGCAATCTGCAGCATTTACTGAAATAGATAATTAGATAATTTTAGCCTAGCTTATACCGTCCGTTATACATTTAATGTGCATGTGCATTATGCACATGTGTAAATGCATATGTGCATGAATAAAGGTATTATGCGCATGTGTAAATGCATTATGCGTTTACACATGCACAGAAAGTTTGTAGCTTTGAGGTCCGGATTATAGATCATTCCAGATTATGGACGTCCGGATTAAAGACTTTGTACTGTATGCAGAAGAGAAACATGCCCATATCAAATTCCAAATTATGTAATCAACCTTAGATTGAAGTAAGTTTTACAGAAAAATTCCATATTTTGAGTGACACAAGTACAGTCCTTCATCTTCAAGAAACAAAAATATGCTGCTCCTTGAGAAATGCATACACATTTTACAATAAAAACAGCATCAATCTAAGATCAATTTTGGTTTTCTTTCCTTTTTGTCTTTTTAAGTAATCAAACTAGTTAGGTCAATAGCTATTATTATTACTTAGGTTAGCGATTTAAAATTCAGTACTTCAACTATTGTTATGCTTCATCTTACCAAGAAGGTTCTCTCCCTCCATTTTCTGTCTTTCCCTTAATTTGCCAGTATTAAGGGATATTTCCTGATTTTCCTCATTATGAATTAGCATACAAAAAAGGATAAATTTCCCACGAGAATAGCTACTACATTATACTTATACAAAATGCATTAACCTTTTTTTTAATAAAAATATATAAACAAAGCATGCATTTTTTCAATCATTAATTCTCATAAAAATAAACCAGTTTTAGTTACGAAATACTAAAGGTATATTTGCAGTAACAAACCATATATATTGAGCATGCAATAAAAATTTTTGCTTTTCATACCTAATGAGAGTGATATCATCTATTTCTCCACCTTGAGCAGTATACAATACTTTAGCAGAAATATTGAGTTTTTTTGCAGCTGCCATCAAAAGATCATCAAGGGTATCAGATAAAGGCAACAGCTACAAATAACATAAAAGTGACAAATTAATACAGACAATTACTGCATACTTAATAAATCACTAATATTTTAACTCTGATACTATACTAACAAATCATAAATAAATGCACATATCTGTAGCAATCCAACTCATATTACAATAAAATTTGAGTATAGATTAATTTTACCCATAAGCAAAATTCGTATGACACAGCAATAACTAGTTATGAGAGCACATGATAACAGTACTTTGATTATTTGCATACCCATGAAAAGTCAGTCACTTTGTGAATTATTTAATTTATTGAAAAATTAAAACTTTGGATAGCAAAATTAATAGATGGATACTCAATCCATTTTTGTCTGATCCAAACTCAATGAACAACAACGATTTTTGAAAAGAACTGTGGAACACATCTACATCGACTTTCTGTATAAATTATAAATAAACTTACATTTTTGTTTTAACTACTAAGCCTTAAATAAAATTCTAATTTGCCTAATTCTAATTCGTAAATTTGCCTTGAATAAAATTCTAAATAAGTACCTAGATACTACTTACACTTGTATAGAGTCCCTAAAATTTAGTAGAGACATTGTCTTACTCTCAGTTTTGACAAATACTGAAGACTAGTAATTAGCAGTTTTCAGAAATTTAATTTATTTAAGCTCAGTTACTCCAAATGATCCAAATTTTTAAATGTGAAGTCTGAATATTTTGAGTCTGTTTTGAGTCTCTAACTGAAAGTTAAGATTCCCCACAGAATTTTCTTGGCACTGGAACTGTTATATCTTTCTTTCTATCTATCTCAGGTTGCTGCACAAGGGATTTTTTCTCAATGATAAATTACACCCCTAAAAATATGTTCATATCACTGGTTTTCATACATTAACCAAGACCTTAAGCCCATTATTCAAGATGTAGCTTTTGTGGTAGAAGATTATTCAAGATATATGTAGAAAATTATTAAACAGTATAGACATATCAACATAACCACCTCAGCAGATATCACCAAATTTTCAGAATGTGCCAAATATAGGCTAACAGTGCATACAACAGCTTTTCAATTTTAAAAAGCAAAGTCATCATTTAGTATGCATTCCAAGTTCTAAAAGTTTTTAATGATTGGCTATTTTCTGTCATAAATTCAATTTTAAAATATGCACTTGAGGAATTTGCATATAACAGAAGAAAATGTGATGAAATTTCTGCAGGAATTTTGCTGTAAAATCCTGAACATTGACATTTACATTTAATGAAATTATATTTCAGAAAATGATCTTTTTGAAAATACAATGTGAAAAATTATAATTAACACAATGGGATTTAAATCGATAATTGGTTTGAAAATAGTCATCTGTCTTTCACTACAGCAGTTTGATTTTTCTAGCACAGAAGCAGAGAATTTAAGTGGCATTAAATTCTGCCAGGTAGAATTGGAGATGGTTGACAAGATTAAAATAGACTGTAATAGTTATAAAGAAAAGATATAGACATTGGATTAAAGAGGCCAAAGGAAACAAACTTGTATGAAGGTTTGTATCCTATCCTCCTTGTATAAAGGTTTGCTGACTGGTTTTCGAGATTAAAATGTACGCAATACATAATTTTTTGCAATTATAAGTCATGATTTGCTTTCTTAAATAAAAACTTCTTAAACAATGCCAATGTAATTGTCATAATATGGAACTACCCATTAAACTTGAGTGAATATGCAAGGAAATAAATAAATTTTGAAATGCAGATGTTTTGGGGACTAGCGAGTTGAAAATAGATATCTTCTATTATACATTACTAAGCATATGTAGATTGATACTATTTAGTCTGAACTGATACTATTTAGCCTTGATTGATACTATTTATTCTGAATAAATAGTTAAGCATAAGTTTAAAGGATAAAACAATAGAAGATAATATGGAAGTATTTTTAGTATATTATTACAACTGCTCGTCATTCAGCGACAGTTTGCAAAGAGCTCCGAGTAAGTTGCCACTTTGGCACAATCCATTAATAAGAAAGCTCAATTATTATTAATTAGCTCAATGGTGTCATTTAAACAATAGGGCAAGGAGGCATAATGAAAAAGAAGACCCTATTTTTAGTACATTATTATCAAGCTACAGATAAAAATCAAAATTAGAAATGAAAAATTGAGGTAACTGAGTTCTTAACTGAGTACAGTTAAAATATAATACTGTATTTACTTGCATATCTTCCCCTCTTTTCCTACTAATTTTACTGCTTGAAAAAATATGAGGGGGAAAATATGAGGTTCATAATATTTCTAAACAAACTGCTTTAATGATAAACACAGCACACTAAAAAGCACACATAAAGAAACTATTATTATTATATTATGCACTTCAAAGCATTTAGCAATTTCAATACAGTACAAAGTCCGAAATCCGGACGTCCATTATTCAGAATGCTCTAAAATTTGGAGCTCAAAGCCACAAACATTTTTTTTTTTAAATTAATGCTTTACGCATGCGCATTTGATTTTTCCTTCCATAACAAAACATGTAGATATTTTCACTTAAAAATTCAGATTCTTAATTTCACTTAGGCACTAAATAAAATACCTCGTTATGGAAAAACAATCATGTAAGCATAAATTTGTGAGGTTAATAATTTGGTTCTGTAGCTGAGTATCTACTTGGCATACATCTCAAACTGAAACATTCACCTATTTTATATCCCTGATGCTGACCTGGCGAGTCATCATTTATTTTATTTTGCCTTCGTCACCGCATGTTTATCAATACATGACAGCTTCAACAATAACTCATGCAGAAATGTCTAAACTTTTTTATTATATTAGGAATTGAATAACAAGAGTATGGCAACCTTTTATGCTAGCATTACGCTTGGCGATGATTACAGATTTTTAAATGCTCTAAGAAATGCAGACGAGGAAAAAATCAAAAAAAATTTCTTTTTCATATGCTAAAAATAGATTTTGTTAATGAAACTCATAGGCCAAAAGATTACATTTAGTGCTATTTTAATTAAGAATAACTGAGAAGCGGCGGCAGAATATATCGGCACTAGACAGCAAAATTTAGAGAAGATGAAATTTTTGGAATTTGGGGAAGCACTGAACGGCAAAATTAAGAGATGAGAAGTGTTTTACAATTTAGGGGGAAAGCACTGGGATCCAAAGTTTAGGCATGGTGAAAATTTAGAACTTAGGAAAGTGCGTTTTAGCAGAATCTTTTACCCATAGAGACTGCATCAGGCGGTATTGAGTGCCGGTCCTAGATGAAGCCTTAAGTATATGTGGGAGTTTATTTATTTAGGACTCAGATTAGTTTTAAGCATGTGCAAGAAATAAACGTAGGTATAGTAAATAACTAAACTAATACAATTCAGGCTACACAATAGGAGCAAGACAAAATTTTGCGAAACAATTTGGCTTTTGTCACCAATCTCTGTGATACACAGCAAATAATGTATAACAGATGCTATTAAGCTAGGCTAAAATTATCTTTCCTAATTCTAAGGCATTTCAATTAATGTAGCAGACTGCGCTGCTCCCTGATCTAATTTGATCCAGCTTATTATTAAAGCAATTTTATAAAAACTAAGCTTGAACTTTTGATTATGTCGAAAGGAATTTCAAATTCTGGAGTTGCAAAAGGATCTACAAAGTGAAACCATGTTTCGATGTCCATTAAACAAAAAGTGGAATTGCTGCAAAAAATGGATAAAGGCATATCAGTCTCAAAATTATGTGAGGAGTATAGCATTGGAAAGTCCACTGTATATGAAACGAAAAAAGGAATTTTTTGAATTTTTCGTAGAAGCATCTTAACTGTTTAATAAAGTAAACAAATAAATATTAAGCTTTTTTTTTTGTAAATTTTGATACCCTTTAGATTATAATTGTTTTTTATTCCATAAATTATGATTTCATATAATTTCTGCATGCCATCTTACCAGATTTAAATTGATTATCTATTATCCTGAAAAATCCCAAATCCAGAATCGCCGAAGTCCCGACCAGTCCGGATTTTGGACTTTGTACTGTAATATTTTTCTTTTCTTTTTTTTTAGTTGCACAAAATGCTTTTCTATCTGCACATACAGTTTCCACTGTTACCATACATCAGAAGTTTCTAAGTCACTTATTGAAAAAACTAGGGGGAGGAATTAGGTTAGGGGGAGAAATATGCAAGTAAATACAGTATTTAAAATAAACCCAAAGCAGATTCAAACAGCAATGATCAATAGCAAACAACTATTATTTTCCTTGAAAAATTTAATTTTCAACATAGTTTAAAACATAATGTAAATACTACACTTTTTACCTTTTGCAGTATCCAAAAATTGTGCATACAAAGTACACTACAGAGACCAGACTACCACAAGAACTTTAATACTCTGTCCACAAAATTATTCAGAAAGATCATCATATCCCCATAACTACTGAATCTACATTTTAATGTTTAGTGGAAAATTGTTTCTGCATAGTTTTGCTTGACAGCATATTATTGTATTTTTTTAAATACTATTTAGGCCCTTGATTCTAAATATGATGACAGAATAATTGCATTTTACTGCATAACACACTAAAATATGATTTTTTTAAGTATCTATTTTTATTCTCTGTGGGTTAATTCTGTTTACTGTACAATTCTAGAAGCTGAAAAATAATAAATCAGTGATAGATCATCAAGTTTCCATTAAACTTAAATGAATTTATTTATTTACTAATTTATATTTTTCTTAAACCCTTCTGCAATATTTAATATGTTTTGAAGCCATTCAACATGCATAGCAAGAGAAATCAAAAACACATTTGTGTTAGATGGAGATCATACAATTCTAAATTATAAAATTCTATTCAAATTTCAGACTTGCTGGATTAAGAGGAAAACTCCATAAAATTTTATTCCATTATTATTTTATAGTAATTAATGATTACTTATAACTGTTTAATGTTTTGTATTGTAGCATATATAGTGTGTTTTATTAGGTAATCCTCCAAAAAATCAAATCTATTTTTCTCTCTCACTTT